GTAAAATTACATTAATAAAATTAGTTTAAAGGTGAGTGGCACAAAAGCAAACGGTTTCGGAGATTTGCCCATGTAAAAGTTACGAGCGAGTGAATATTAAATGGAAATGTTATTTCTAGACCTCGGATACTTATGTTAAAAAATATGCCTAAAACTATGTACCATAATAACTATAAGCTAGGTGTATATCAATTAATATACAGTCAGCGTCAAAATTATGAATACCCTGACGTTTTTACGAACTTATTTGGTTATATTTTACATACCAAATTTTACATACTTTTTTATAGAAATGCAGTTTGTTTAACCACATAGAGGAATGCAAGAAATACCAAAAAATTTTCATCAACATTTTAAATTTTTTATTAGCTTCTGTAGTCCATTAAATTACAGTATAATAAAGTGCAAGTTTAAAGTGAATAAAAAATAACCATTGATTTTTGAGCATTTTTTTTGTGGCGGGTGCTGCGCATTTTGTTCCATATAAAAATAGATTTTGTTCATGCTGTGTATCTCGGGGGATACAACGATATACATAATACCAGGAATTCCGTTATTTTATTGAAAAACTGTTTCAAAAAATACTGTACTGTAAAAAATGATTTTAATTTTTAATAGAGATACTGCGAAACGGGATCTTTTTGCAGTAATATACAGTTTTTGTCCGAAAAAAGATACGAGCGTTAGTTATACGAAAGAAAATGCGCAACCCCTCGCAAAAAAGCTCTCAAAAATTAATGGTAGTTTTTAGCAACTTGAAACTTGCACTTTTTTTATAATAAAAATGAATGAGCTACAAAAAAGCATACTACATTTTTCTAAGAAATCGAGTTGCAAATATTTAAAATTTTGATGAAAATTTTTCGGTATATCTTGCATTTTCCCGAGTTCTGTATGCAATTAAGAAAACTGATTCTGTTGAATAAATTATATTTTTGTAAAAAAATAAGAAAAATTTGGTATGGAAAATATATATACATATAAATAAAATCGTTACAACGTCGGGGTATTCGTATTTTTGACGACGACTGTATTTTGTTTATATGCAGTTATGATGGCACATATTTTTAGGCTTACTTTTTTGCATACAAATCCGAACTCTAGTTATTTCTAATTTTTTTCATGTATACATACTACATACATATTATGTAAGCACTCGAATTTATTAAAAAAAAATTAAATAAAGGCTTTTGCTTGGAATTGCTTATTTTGCTTATTCAGCGTTTCCAAGCTTAACATAAAGCTAAGTAAGGACAATTTAAAAAAACGGCCAAGAAATAAATTGCTATTATTTCGTGTGTGTGAAAGGTTGTGTCCAATGAGTTTTCACATCTGATATTTTACAGCCTGCTGTCTCACTAAACGAAATAATGGAACGGGCAAATATTTATGTTCAAAACAAGGGTGCCTTGTACTCTTCACAAACAAACTTTAGAAAACCATAGAAAATTTGCCTTTATCATTTTCTGTATCAATAAGATAAAAAAACTTTTTTTTCGGTGTATCATGTTACACTGGATTACAAATTTTAATTTGGTTTCTTCTCTCAAGACGCCACTATCCAATTTCTATGTAAAATTGCTCGGTGATTCCGAAAGTCGGGTTAATTTTTTTTTCTATAGATACGTTTTCGAGATATTTGCAGTTTACCGTTATTCAGCATAAAGCAAAAATGGATTCCTTTTAAGCACGTACATATATCTTACGAACCAATTTAAAAATCTCACTATAAAATACGGCAGATGAAAGCCAATGAAATTCTCCCTAAACCGTATGTACATCACTTTCCGATAGGGCTTATATTTTCTGATAAATTAATTAATCATTCCAGCATTTTTTATTTTTTAATGAAAGAATGAAAAAAAATTAAATTTTAACAGTAAAAAAATTTAAAAAATGTTGGGTTCTCCGCCAAATGTTTGCATTTGGACTAAAGTTTGTTCTGTTACAAAAAAAAAAACCCAAATGCTATTTGTTATTTTTTTTAATTTGCCATATTCGCAATCTTTCGGAATTTTTTTTTCTCATAAACTGGACGTGCTAGAACAATTTTGTAAATGCACTTCAAACAACTAAAAAAAATTTATAACATAAGATTGGTTCCGTTTTTGAGATAAAATACGACCAAATTTTGTCTTACTGTATTATAATTTTGTTACAGCAAAATACAAAATAATTTTGGACTGTGTAATCAAATAGCACTTTTGTTTGTTTGCTCTCATTTCTTAATAATCCGGTATCAGCTTCAACCAAGCCATCATCGAACTTGTTGCCTTGAAAATTTTAATGGATTGGAACTCTGCTGATAGGCCTGCAGTTACTTAATAAGAAAATAAATACATACTTATTTTTCTGCTGTACTACTTCAAATGAAACTCACATGAATGCACATTAGGGTGGTCCAAAAATGCATGTGAATCCCTTAGGATTGTTCTATAGCAAACATAATATGCCCTTACTTCTTATTTTGAAATCAAAAATTATTTACAGTTCGCTCAAAGTGCCTAAAGTTTACCATGCACCTTATATAGGAAAGGAAAACTCTTAATTCTCTTTAGCAGGTTCCCAATAATAATACCCATTTATTTATAGTAATTATATTTTATAGATGCGCCAAAACCTCCAGCAAATGCAATGGGGGGAGAAATAAAAAATCTTTAGTATAAAGAAATTTTTAAACATTAAATTGGGTATTGTTATTGGAAGTCTCGTTTAGAGAACCAGAGTTCTCCGATCGAAAAATGTTGAATTTCATACCATTTCTGTGAAAAGTTGTTTTTCCCCATATAAAATACATGGCAACCTTTGGGCGATTTGACCAAAGTCTAAATATTTTTTCATTCAGAAAAAATTGGGGTATATTTATTTCGATATAGAATAATCCTAGTGTTTAAGAGCACTAAAATTCCGGCTTGACTTATGTTAGACTACCTTAATGTACATACATATGCAATTGGGCATAAAAAACTACACTTACACAATATAAAGCCAATAAAATACATTGAATCCATCTAATTTACTTCATTGACAGATTTATTCACAGATTGAATCATTAAATAATTTCGTTGACGATACCAAACTGATTAGAATAGAAGATGGCAATTTACTTTTTTCTTTTAGGGCAGTTTTCGGATATGTAGCTTGATTCTCATGACCTTGTCATCAATAATTTAGCGCTCGTTTGGTGAGTTAGGTCAGTGTGCCAATGCAAAACATATAAAATCTTGATACATCCACACACAGGCATTGCCGCGGTGTCTACGTCGAAGACAATGCTGTATATTTGCTTCCGCTGCGGGTACACCCAATTTGGTCCTCAGCGCTTGTATATCCCATCGGTGTGTGCTGGCTTTGTATACTTGCAGACGTTCGATGAAACATTTAGTGAAGCAATCTATTGGTTCACGCACCGGATTTTTCGAATAATCTTTTAAATGTTCCCATTCATATTGATCAAAGCGGTGCAGACACTCCTTCATGACCGTTTTTGCTTCAGTGCTAATGTTTTGCATACTTTCGATAAGAACAAATGGATCATGTTCAAGCTACAACGTGCATTCAAATATAAATGTATACGCATGAATGGGCGATAAAGAGAAACATAATACAAATCAGATAGATTGATAGCTATTCAAGAACTCACATTAACAAGACAATGAAATCCGTGATAAGCCTGCTCACAGGCATCGGCCAATGGCACCATGCGGTGTTGGCAAGCATTATAGAGAGGTTGGCCGAATTGTCTGACCACTTGCTCCTCTTTGAAACCGGACGACTCGTCGAATATGTCAAACATGTTCTTAATATAGCATTTGGAAAAGCATGGTATCTCTTCGTATTTCTCTGACCACTCCTTAAAACGTACCAAACGGCGTGCATTCTCCTCCGTTAAACCGCCAAAACTTTTGAGACACTCGTTGATAATGCGACTCTCTTCCGCATTTGGTTGGACCACTGCCGTAATGGGAGCCTGATAAAATTGAAATAAGCCATAAAAAAAAAAATACTCCTAAAAGATAGAATATAAATATTCACAATTGTTGCCGGCTTACAATGATTACTATTGCCAAAAGCGAAATGAAAAATAGTTCCATGGTTTTGTGTGCGCTGAACGCCCAAGACAAATTTGTATTATAACTAACGTGCGTCTTTTGTGCGATTAGATTGCGTGCAATCTGTAGACTGCTTCAAAGGTTTGGTTTGGCAATTTACAGTGGCAAATTTTCTTTCAGCATGATTTAGCTATTATCAACAGACTCAGTGGAGAGTGTTAAGAATAACTCAATAGTTGCTGATAACCCAAACTTTTGCTGTACCGTGGATTGATCTGAGCATCTAAATCAACTACAAGCGAGGCGAAGGGGTTGGAAAGTGCCGCTGTTGCTTGAAGGTCATTTGATGCGGAGACACATTTTAGGTTTGCTAGTTAGGTTGTATGTTTTTTACGAGCAAAACTATGTAGCGTGTTTATTGAGCTTATAGAAGAAATACTTTTTAATGAATAATGCAGTTAAAAATATTTCACAAAATTTTTTGATATTTTCTTTTCATATCATATATGGATGGCTGAGTGGAAGATCCACCTATCTCGGCAGCCAGGAAACGCAACGTTCTATCTCAGAAAACTTTTCAAAAACGCCCTACTTCAGAATTTTATTGCTTCGACGTCTCCTCGCTTTTAATGCAAAGACGTCTTCGCGAGAGAACCAATCTGGTGGATGTGAGAGCGCAGATGATTATGGCCCATAAGGTAGCCAATAAGCAACTTGATGTCGGCTCTGTTCAAAATATGCAAAACTACGGAAAGGATAACCAAAAAGTATGGCCTGTCCAAGGCGCCTTACCACTCCTACCATGATTCTATTATAAACCTCGAGGAGGACCAACTGAGTCCACAAAACGGTACCGGCCTCACAAGTACAGACGATGAGCCTTCCCTTGCCAATTCGTCGGCGGCCTCGTTGCCCACGATCCCGCAGTATCTTGGTACCCAGCGTAGTAATACCGGTTTCCTTACTGCTAAGAGCTTGATAGTGTCAAAGCACTCCTTGACGAGCCTGGATGCCTTAGTTGCTGGTATTTCAAAATTTTATTACTTTCAACTTTATAGCACTTAAACTAAAGTTGCAATTCATAAAACAATTTATATTTCAGTGGCCATGCCTATCGGCAACCCAACTGAGGTTGCGTTGCAATCCATAATCGACCCATTGTATTTAAAAGTCTATTCGTATTCAATTTAGAAAAATTCAGTTTTCATAACAGTACCTCCGACAATGAAGAGAGGCTGATCGACTTCGCCACGGCATGGCACATCGTAGTTAGTAGTACCACACACAGTGGAAGAATGACCTATCAAGGCAGCCAGTTCGAAAATTCCTATTTCAAAAAACTTTTCAAGATCGTCCTATCTAAGAATTCGTTTCAAAAGCTTCAAAATATATTGAATCGGTTTTTGCATCGGAAGCCGAGATAGGGCATTTTTGAAACGAATTCTAAAATAGGGCGTTCTTGAAAAGTTTTTTGAAATAGGGCGTTTTCGACGAGATAGGACGATCTTCCAATCAGCAGTCAATATAAAGATACCATTTAGCTAATGGCAACACGCGCGGCAATTGAGCGATATCGCTTTTCAAGAAGAAGAAAAGATATGTAGAAAGGCGTGAGTACGACTAAAGTAAGATACTGAAAGGCAGGAATGCGGCTCAAAAATTCTATCTGAAAATAAGTCAGCTATAAAAAGGTTTACAAGCCAGGGTTGGTTCCTGTAGAGATGAAAATGGGAATCTCTTTTGAGTGCCATGGGTGTTGAGCCGTTTGATGAAGAAGCATCGGAACCAATGTATAGGAACGAAGCTCTCGTTCTCCACTTGAACAAGGCGGGGTAAGAAGAGCAATAATGCAGCTTAGAAATAACATAGCATCCGTAGCATATCAACTGAACTCTTAAAATCAGGAGACGAAGAGCTAATAGAGAGCTGTTTGAGCCAATTACCGCGAAATTAGCCTTCTTAGTATAGCATGTAAAGTTTCGATGATACTGTTTAAAAGACTTAACCAACTAATTGGACCTAGTCAGTATGGCTTCAGATCTGGAAAATCCACTGCCTTGTAAAGGAAACATGTAATTGGCGAAGTTTTTTTTAGTCTCGGTCCAAACCGACGAAGAGTTGTAGAGGAAAAGAAGAAGAAGGCATGAGTAACCACTTTTAGGTATATAAATATTGCTTGAGTAAAAACACTAAATACATAACTAAGCATAGGTTACAAGGTCTTATCGAGCGTATTGTGCGAAAGACTG